TTGAATGACATACTGGAGAGAGAGAGAGAGAGACCATATTTTCGGCCAATTGTGAAGTAAGTCTCTTCAACCGGCGCCGCCAATTGTAGGAGTGTTCCACCGGCGTCTAACAATAATCCGTCATATGCCCTCTTCACCTTTCCTTCTTTACCTGTAAAATTGATTTTTCTTTAAGTGGAAGAAAAGAAATAAAAGAAACAGTGACAGTATTCCGCAATCACCGGCAGCCTGAGAATTGGGGCCGCCGGGCGGCGCACATTATCAGGCGGCGGTGGAGCGTATGGTGCAGGATGATTTACCTGTGAGAATTGTTGGGGGAGAGGAAGAAATGGAAAAGCAACGAAGGGGGGTGGATTTGGGCAGCTTGAAATTGATGGGTCTGAAGTTTCTGAAGAGAGCGGTGGCCTCCATTACTGCTACGATCAGTTCTTCAAGATGGTGAAGAACAATCCAATAGACCACATTTTTATTTCGGTAGTGTCGAAAAATAACATTTCATTATTAAAAATGATTTTTTTATTAGTTTTTCATTAAAAAAAAACAAATCTTAATAATTTTCTTAATTTAATTAAAGAACATTGAAAATTAGGAGTTTAATAAAATCGTATGAACAGTAAATTTTTATGGTCTCAACTTGATGAGAAAGCATTGAAATATTAACTCGATAATTTAATATTTCTTTAAATTAATAGAATTTTCGTAGTCTCAACTGTATTAATTTATAGAAGTGTAGCTGTATTGTTTATTATTACATGAAAATATAATTCGTTTATAGACTTCGTTTACACAAGACTTCCCATTTCCTATTTATGGCTGTATGTCTCAATACAAACCGAAACCGAAAAATGTTCCCCGCAAACAAGCACAACTAAATTCAGTGCAGCTTGATGAAGAATGAATGGCAGCAAATTGTCTCTAAAACCTGTCGAATTCAAATCTACGATACCCCGTTGTTAGAATCTCTACGTGTCGGTTCTATGACGAAACAGCTTTGTGATTGTTCTTCGCTCGCAGTCCTGTGAAAAAACATCACCACAAAATGAAAAGTACACAATTTGATTTTGTCGCATTGACGAAAATAAAATAAATTAGCTAAAAAGCTCCGACCAATAACAAACCTTGAACATATTCAAATGGAAGCGTTTGTCGGGATTAAGTCTCTTCAGCTTCAAGTAAGTATACGCAAAGCTCAGCTGATCACGTGACGTAAATCGATCAACTTCATTAAACCAAAGGCACGAAAATAAATTCGACATTGGCGTATGCGCCCTCACAATGAACGATCCTTCTGGTACAACTAGAGAAAAAAAAAAAGTGAGACCCAGTAATTAAATTTGAGAAATTCAAAAACTAGCATATAGAAATATAAGACTGAACAAAAATAATAATATACTCACAGCTTGGAAGAGGGATTTTCGGGTCTGACGAGTCGTACTTTGTGAGACCATCAGATTGATAGAAATAAAACTGTTCGTCTAAAGCAGAGTGATTGTACTTATTTAGCCTTTTATTTTGGAGTATTTCATCCCACACGCAGTGGCGAATATAATGATTCGAAATAGCATATTCTGAACCCTTTCGCCACAAAAAGTATTCGATTATCTTCATTGGATCAGCATTTAGTCGAAGCTTGCTATCGAGCCAAATAGAGTACCTAACAAATCAAATACAGCACAAGAAAAAGAACATCAAAAAAAAAAGGAAAGTCTAAGATTAGGACAACAACTAAAACATATGTAATATCAAAATTGTTTTTTAAGGGGAAAAAAAAAAGAACCACGAGGATCACCTAGAAGAAGGAAAAAGGCGATGTGATAGAAATTTTGGCACCTTTCCAGTTTTCCGATTATCATTATAGGGTAAATTCTTCACAACAACTATTTTCCATAGCCCAATGTTTCCTCTTTCATCCACAACGTTTCCTTCGGATGAGAGTTTAGCTAAACTTTGCTCGTCAACAAACATAACAAAACAAACGTTTTTCTTTGAGTACTCACTAATCTGCAATTTGTAATTAGTTCTATATCAATACAAGAATTACAGCACGATAGTTTCACATAACAACAATAATATGCTAAGAGAATAACTTGTTACCACTTTGCTAGTTGGCCTTCTCAAAAAATCGGAGCTTCCAAAAATGCACGACGAAACGACAATTTTGCATGTATTCATATATTCTTTGTCCTTCTCATTTAAATCAAATCCAGTACTGCTTGAGGTTTCATTCGGGAACTTCACAAAGCCACAATGAATTGTTTGATTTGTTGCATTATAGGACTTCTCTCTATCTTTAAGACTTTGATGTCCTCCAAATCGAGCTTCGTTAGTTTCAGTGAGAAGGGTAATCTCGTCTTTTTCAACAAATCCCAAAGAGAAACGAGCAAATGTAATGTTATCCTCGGGCTCAATCATATAAGAAACAGAATCAAGAAACGATACCTCACAGGGAAAATATCCTGAAACAAAGAAAGGAGGGGGAAATAAATATTCTTGAAAAAATGTTCACGAAA